CTTCACACACACACACACACACACACACACACACACACACACACACACACACACACACACACACACACACACACACACACGATCCTATTCACCTGCGTGGAAGTTGAAGAACTGGTGGATGGGCCTGTAGCGACCGCTGATCTTGACGAGCCCCTGCGCAACAACGCCTTCCTTGTACGCGTACATCGGTGATGGTAACGGTGATGGTAAAGGTGATGGTGATGGCAGTGAGCGACAAGGGAGGGAAGTGAAGCCGAGGTCAAAAGTTCAGCATGCGCAGTGCATCATCATGTTCAATTCACCATGGCACCATCATGCTTGATACACGGTTTGGAACACGCGGTGTTACGCACAGGCGTACACAGCACACACACGCACATACACGAGCACGTACTGACCTCAGGGCAGCTGGTGTAACAGGGGAAGATGATGCTCTCAACTGACATCCTCTTGGTGCCTGCATCTCATCATGCCGCAGTGCATGGCCTGGTCGATCGAGGTTGTGTGTTCGTGAGTGTGTGAGTGAGTGTGTGTGTGTGTGTGTGTGTGAGTGAGTGTGAGTGTGTGTGTGTGTGTGTGTGTGTGTGTGTTTGGTTGTGTTTGTGAGTGTGTTAGAGAGTGAGCGAGGGTGAGAAGCACATTGCCATTGCTATGGGTGAACGCTGTGCCTCGTCTGCGACAACACGAACACGTGATGTTGATTGTGATGGTGCGGTCAACATGTCTGTTGACGAAAGGAAACAACTCATCAAAGCACAGCGCGTGTGGAAGAACAAACAAACCTGTGTGGTGGTGTTGTTGGCATTTCTTTGGCTGCTGCCTGCAGTGGTGCGGATGATGATGGGCAGTGGCGGACGAGGAAAGCAACCACAGCAACTACCACAGAAACAAAGCTGGTTGTAGAAAGAACAGCAGAGACAAGCAAGAAGACAGCTCACACACACACACACATGTGAGTAAGAAGAGTGATGAAGTGAGGGACAACATCACAACCATTGCCACCTGCTTCATCAGCACAGTGAGGTGCGCGCAAGCCAACAACAATGACTGGAACATGCGAGCGACACTTTGGCTTGTTCACCTGTCGTTGATGTGCACCCTTGGTATACCAGCCTTGCTTGGTGTGGGTGTCACGACGCAATGCGCTCGTCCGTCATTGCCCCCTCCCACCACAAACACACACAGCACACACAGCACACACACACACACACACACACACACACACACACACACACACACACACACACACACACACACACACACACAGCCATCGTTGGTGCCGGCCATCCTAGACGCATTCTCAGACCTCAAGTACGAACACGACGTTGATGATGTTGGTGGTGGTGTTGTCGATGATGCTGTGTATCTGCGGTGTGATCCTCAGTCACCATGTTCTTGGATTGCGACGCAGCCATTCCACCACCATCCCTCACCCATCTACCCTCCCCCCCCCCCAACACACACACCACGACCACCCTCATCCACACCCTTGCTGTGCAGTGTGGCGCCGGCACGCCTGCGCCAGATCTGCGATCACGTGTTGGGCCAGCTTGGATCGCACAGTCCAGAGTGCCTCCCAATCGTCATCAAGTTTCGCATGCAGCAAGGTGGTGGCGGTACTGTTGAGGGCGGCGAGGAGTGGGAGATGATGCCACAGTGTGTGACTGTGTGACGGCGATCTCACATGCGCTTGTCTGCAAGTGTCGCTGTGGCTTGTTCTCTCGCAGCCGCTCCCTCACATGCCTTGCACACACTCACACACATGCACGTTGATGTTCCGCGGATGGAATGGATGCGATTGCGCTGACAGCGAACATGATCGACTCCTCCACCATGCAACACCAGCAACGGGGCGATGATCACGATGTGTTTGTCTGTGGTGGCTGCCATCAAGAACGGGCTCGCATTTGATGCGCGCATTACAAAGGCGTGGCTGCGGCCAACTCAAGACGACCACGGCCCAGCCAATCACCGCCCTCGACCTGCTTGTGCTGCTGCTGCTTCACCAAGCACCAGAACGCCCACTGCCGCGGCGCAGAGACCACCGTGATCAAGCTTGCAAGCACGGGCCGGCTCACCGCCGCCATGGCCGCTGCCACGTTTGCCAGACACACGCGCGCGTTCTTGATGTGCTTCAAGTCGATTGTGCACATGATCGACATCCTGAACCGGCAGCAGGAGGCCGCGTGCCGCCACCTCGCCTCCACGGCCGGAGGTGGTTGGGGCGCTGGTGGCGCACATTGGCACGGGGCAGGCACAGGAGGTGGACGCAGCCATGCCCGTGCTGCTATGTCGCTGGCCACAGGCCACCTGAAGTTGCTGCACCCGATTGCGCTCATGCTGAACGGCATCCTGGACTGCCTGAGCAACCTGCACTTCATCCACATCCGGCAGCTCTTCCGTGTCCCGACCACGCTCACGTCTGACCGCTAGCGCACTGCCGCCGCAGGCCTCAGCATTGATGACGAGAACGAGGATGGTGGGTGAGATTGTGTTTGAGTGTGTGTGTGTGTGTGTGCGGATGAACGTGTGTGCATGAACTTGTGCGTTGGGGAAGGCGTGTTGGACAACATCATGTCCTTCCATGAAGAGTGTCTCTCACCCTTCTCATTCAACCACCACCACCACCACCAACACCACCACAATCCCTTCTGCATTGCACTGGGTGTACGGCAGCTGTCTCAATCGAACGAAGAGCTGAAACGCACCGGCACCATCGCCGCCGCCACCGTCACCCGCACCTTGTTCGCTCTTGCCAACGACGCAGACATCTCCATCGACCGTGCGTTCGTGCATGCGTGTGTGCGTGTGTTCATGTGTGTGCGTGTTTGCGTGCGTTTGCGCCCTTGTTTGCAGTTCACCTGAGTCCCCCGTGTGGACTTGTCGTGCTCCTCATCATCCACGACTCACCTGTCTCCGCGCCTGTCCAACAGGCGACCATCTCTCCTCACTGTTGCAGGCATTGCACTTCATCTATGTCGACAAGTGTGTTCAGCTGACATGCTCCGTTGCCACAACGCCTCCACGTCCACGCCCAGTCATTTGCCCTTCTATCGTGGCGTCGTTTCCTCCCCTCCCCCCACCGCCAGCACCAACAACCATCAAGAGCAAGCACATCTGTCGGGATGCGTGCACGGGGATGGCGGACTCACCATCGACCCACCGCCGCCACGGCCGCTTGGCTTCAGGTCGCTCGCCGACCCCGACGTACCCGTGTGTTGGCCGCCGAGACCCCCAAGCGCACGTTACAGCCCGACAACACCGTCAACACGATTGTGGTTTGAGCAGACGGACGGGTGCGCCCCAAGCGCGGGAGACGTGCTCTAGCTTCTCGTCGGAAGGACACGCACGTGGTCGTCAGCGAGAAGACGCTGCAGGCACCGTTCGAGACGAAGCTGCAGCTGCTGTCGGGGATTGCCGCCGAGTTTGCGGGTACTGTGCACAGCAAGACCGACGTGGAGACAAGACTGCGGAAGCACGCTGCCGAAACGCGAACCTCTTCGTGTTCCTGATGTCGCTGCAGCCCTTTGTGTGGTGGAACCTGTCGCACGCTGGGGACGCGCAACCTGAACCCGGAGGAGGAGACGATAGAGGAGGTGCAGCACGAGAGTTGGGCGCATCCCCGACTAGCGTGGGCCTGCAGCGACGACGTGCTGTTCCGCACGGTCGCGGACGGACAACGAGTCCAGGCTAGCGACCCAGCCCTCCGACGAGGCTGCTGGGCGTCGTGCACGTTGAGTAACTGACCTGTTGCCGATGCCCCACACATTCACGTGCTGATGGAACTACTTTTCCGCCAACCGCGCCCTGGAGCTGATACGCAAGGCGGGCGTTGTGGGCGTGGACGTGGACGTGGGAGTGAAAGAGGACCTGTTTGCTTGCCAGTGTATGGTTGACGTGTGGTGTGGTAGTATGCTCGTTGCTTGTCAGCCGGTTGAATTGCGTGAAGAGTTTACCAAAGTGTGAAACAAGCAACGTCAAGCAAGTAAAAGCAAGGGGAAAGCAAGCACGTGAAGGAAAGACAGGAGCAAAGGAGCAAAGTGACCAACCAGCAAACCAGCAAGCACAGACACACACACACATACACACACACACACGCACGCACGCAAACACATACACACACACACATACCTGTGCTACAAGACACTGCAGCAGCCACCTGAGTCACTGGGCAGAATTGCACCTTGAACCTTCACATCAGCACCGCGAATGCGCCGCAGTTCGCGCTCCGCGTCGCGCGTGTCTGGGTGGTCTGGGCCGACCGTGCTTGTGTAACCGTCGAGGGCCCGCTGCATGTAGGCGCAGGCCTGCTCCTTGTCACCGCGCGTGTCGTGCAGCAGGCCGATGTTCTCAAGCGTCATGGCTACGCTCGAGTGCTTCTCCCCCAGCGTCTCCACCTTGACGGCGAGCGCCTGCTCATAAACCTCAACCGCCTTGTCGTACTCGCCCTTGTCGGCGTAGGCGGCGCCGAGGTTGTTGTACGTCTGTGCCGTGCTCGGGTGCTTTTCACCCAACGCCTCCACCTTGATGGCGAGCGCCTGCTCATAAACCTCAACCGCCTTGTCGTACTCGCCCTTGTCGGCGTAGGCGGCGCCGAGGTTGTTGTACGTCTGTGCCGTGCTCGGGTGCTTCTCACCCAACGCTTCCGCCGTGATGGCGAGCGCCTTCTCGTACAGCGCAATCGCTCTGTCGTACTCGCCCTTGCTGTAGTAGGCGCTGCCGAGGTTGTTGTACGTGCTCGCTGTGCTCGGGTGTTTCTCGCCCAGCGTCTCCACCGTGATGGCGAGGTCCTTCTCGTAAAACGCAATCGCTCTGTCGTAGTCGCCCTTGTTCTTGAAGGCGATGCCGAGGTTGTTGTACGTCTGTGCCGTGCTCGGGTGCTTCTCACCCAACGCTTCCACCGTGATGGCGAGGTCCTTCTCGTAAAACGCAATCGCTCTGTCGTAGTCGCCCTTGTTCTTGAAGGCGATGCCGAGGTTGTTGTACGTTATGGCTGTGCTCGGGTGCTTCGCGCCCAACGTCTCCACCTTGATGGCGAGGGCCTTCTCATGGTACGCAATCGCCTTGTCGTAGTCGCCTTTGCTGTGGTAGGCGATACCGAGGTTGTTGTACGTCTGTGCCGTGCTCGGATGCTTCTCACCCAGCGTCTCCACCCTGATGGCGAGGGCCTTCTCATAAAACGCAATCGCCTTGTCGTACTCGCCCTTGCTGTAGTAGGCGAGGCCGAGGTTGCCGTACGTGTTCGCTGTGCTCGGGTGCTTCTCGCCCAGCGTCTCCACCTTGATGGCAAGGGCCTTCTCATAGAACACAATCGCCTTGTCGTACTCGCCCTTGTCGCTGTAGGCGATACCGAGGTTGTTGTACAACGCCGCCACGTTCCTCCCCTTCTCCCCTTCAGTGCGGAGGTAAACCGCCAGCGCTGTCTCGTAGTAGGCAATGGCGCGGTCGTGCTCGCCAAACTGCTTCAGCACCAACCCAACGTGGCCGCACAACTGCGCGAAGGCGTCAGTGCTGTCCTCGCCTCGTGCCCGCATGGCTTCCACGGCACCCACCGCCTTTTGCAGGCACCACGCGCGCAGCTGGTCCTTCACGGCCTGGTTGACTGCGCTGAAGCCGCCCGCCCACGACTGGATCGCCGTGAAGATCATGTGCTTGTCGTGTGGGTTGAAGGCGTCGGCTCGCTCTGCCTGCACGCGCACCAGCGTGTCTGTGACGGCTTTAAAGTCACCCGCGATGGCGTTTTCGAGTGCCTGTTCTTCGCTGTTGGGTAGTTGGATGGTGACCTCTGTGCCTTCGTTGCTGATGCCACAGAAGATCTCCCACAAACACCACGCGCGTGTCAAGGGAACAGGGTCTCGCCACGGCATGAGCACCAGCAGCACATGGCCAATGTTGGCAATCGACTGCTTGAACGTGGTGCTCCACCTGGGTGTCGAGAAAGGGAAAGGGGAGGAATTGGGGTGGAGGGAAGACGAAGAC